CCCCAAAACCCCAAAACCCCAAAACCCCTGAAACAAAATTGAAGAAATTTGATTAAGATTAATATTTGAATTTAGGCATATCATAATTTCAGTTAATAGCTTGGTAAATTGTCATTACTATAGAAATAAGACTGCCAGTATTTTCCACTTGGAATCAATTGCTTCAATAAAATTTTTTAAGGTGTTTAAAGGAAGAGTAATGATCTTTTTCTCAAAAAATACCACCTGATACAGTCTTTGCCATTTTGACATAAGTTCTAGCCCCAGCTATAGGCAGCAATTGCATGATTATTTTACTCATTATAGGCAAAAATACTATGTCTAAAAGAGTAAAGAAATCAAAGTTTTAGTCATAAAGTATTAATACAAGTAACTAAATTGTCAATGGATAAAATATCGCCATTGAACCAATCAAAAATGCTAGAATATAAGAGCAAATACTAGTGCCATTTAGGAATTCTTTATAGAGAGTAGATTTTGCTATTGACTTATGATCTTAGAAAAGTATTAGCAAAGCGAAAGGAGCTGCAGCTATTGAAATGACTGGAGTTATCACTTCTAAAATTCTAAAAATTTGGTAAACAAAGTAGAAAAGTGCTAGTAAATTCTCCAATGAAATTTTCATGCTTAATTTGGTCTTCTAATTATTAAGTGGAAACTTGTCCTTGTTCTTAATCACCTCATTTATTAAATGATCTTTGGTTGCTATATCTAGTTATTTATGACCATGTTTCAAGTCAAGTGTAGGCTGAGATGATGATTTGGAGGAGGAAACACTCTACAAAACATTTTAAATAATCCCTTCATAGAGCGAAAAGCTTCCTAAGACTATTGAAGAGTACTTGTAGTATTCAATTGGAATAGACGAGAAAATCTTAAATACATCTGTGAAGAAATCCTGAACTAATGGGCTGGAAATTACAGCTGGTGAGCTTTCAAATTACATTATTTATAATGAGTTTGATTATGATAAGGTTTAATGAACTAAATATTAACCTTGTTAAATGAATCTTTCTTAATTATTTACCAACATAAGAATTTATGCTACTTTAAGGGGTTTTGGGGTTTTGGGGTTTTGGGG